GAGAAAGCCAAAACTGAATAGGATTTAATTTGTTTGGCCGATTTTTATTTCGTGTTCGCCGGCTACGTGCAGAGCTCTGTCTCTGTAGGGAAAGGCAGACATGTTCCTTTTTTTTTTAACTAAACGCCACCGTTTTTGGGCTTGGAGCACGATGCTCACAGTGGGATGATCCCACGGTATAATTTGTGAGGCGGACCAGCCCTTCTTGTGCAGGTCCAAAACATACCATCGACAATCAAACTCAGCCCAAGCGAGCAGCGCGGAGGAATGCACTGCCATCTCACGACCACGTGCTTCCCCATCCATTTTCACGGCTAATTAACTCTTTATTTAATTACATCCTTCACATTATTATTCTCTACTAGATCTCATAAGTCATAATCATGAGAATTTACCAAATGGTGTTCCGTGCAATCTTATGTAAGCTAGCGTTAAATGTGCCGCGTATAAATATTCTTCTAATCCTTGCCCTGCTCACATGGATTGATTCTTGATATTTCACACTAGCAAAAAGTAGCAACATGCACTTATACATATAGCTTATAGTAAGAGTAATAATAGTTCGAAATTAGAAATCAGAATAGTGTGAATTAGAATAGTGTTACTATAACGGGTTACTTTTTTGTGCTTACTTTTCATCATATTTTGGTCCAATTTCGGTTAGACCTGTTTTAATCTTAGACCGGATTAAACTAATTCTAATCATATCAGAATAAAGTTGATCAGACTTAAACACATTACATTTGACAAAAGTATACTTGAATAGACCCGATCAAATAACATTAGGTTAGATAAAATCGTATGAACAGTACACGCATGTACATTAACTGTCTTTTTTTTTTCTTTTTGTCCCAGTAACATGAATGATGTAACTCGCATGTAAAGAAATGTAACTCACGTTGATGAGAAATGTAATCACAAGTCAGTCAAAATGTAACTTGTCCAATACGAAGCATAAGAAATAAAACATTGATTTCAATGTAAACAATGAATAAAAAGAGTCTAATTGCTCAATTATTTATGCAAATGGTGAATATATATATATATATATTTTATATCATGACAATAAAAATGATTTTTTTATTTTTTTTTTGTTTTAATAGTAGGAGTTAATTTTTGGGTGTAACTCATGTTATTACAAATGTAACTCACGTATTAAACTATGTAACTCGCTTATAAAAAGATGTAACTCGGTGTATTATCAAATGTAAATCAGGATATAAGAATACAGAGAGTATATTTTAACCTTAATTATATGTGGTTTGATATAAAATAACTGAGCTTGAAATTTAGAAGGGGCATTTGCGATCTTCCATTGATCCACTTCTAAACAGATTTGATCATCTATTTCACAAACCTATCATCTCTCTGCAATCCGTATCCTTCTCAGAATGATAAAAAAATTAGCCTGCAGCGCCACCGCAACAGGAAGATCAGAACGGAAACGGAAGGGAATAGAAGTTGCCTGGCTTCCCACGGTTACTCTGCTTTCCAATTGCAAACTAACTTTCCTTTTATGTGGTCACTTTTAGGTGGAAATTGGACCACATAATTTCAATGTTTATTTGTGTGCCAAGGCTTGAGTGGAGCTTCAAGGTTCCTCAAGCTTGAACGGATGGAGGAAGCAGAGTTCGTAGATGAGCAGGAAGTGGAACGGAGTGGGAAATAAAAAACAAAGCTCCGCTCTTTTTTTTTTTACCGTAAACGACACCGTATGGGGATCGGCACACCATGCGCATGGTGGGCCGATCCCACGGTATAATTTGCGGTAACATTTTATTTATTTGGCTGATGGGATTTTATGAAACACTTTATAGAAAAAACATGTACCCTTTCATGTATATGTTTGATCTGGTCTTTTGTTTCTAAAAAACTACTCGTAGTAGAATCCTAATTTGAGTCAAATAACTTTTTTACTCTTACCCTTTTACTTCAAGTCCATTCGTCTTGTGTAAAAGTTGTTTAAGTCCAATGTCATATGGACATATTGTCTATACTTTTAAGTTTTAACTACTTCCTACGATTATAAAACTAAGACAAATTAAACACTAATCCACGGGTTAATGTTACTCCGCAGAAGACGATACTTCATCCGTCCCCAAAATGTTCGCCACATTGACCGTTCTTGGTCAATGACAATCAACTTTGACTAATGATATTTTTTAATACGGAAATTATTTAGAATATAAAAATTAAATCAAAATGTTCTTTATTCCAAATATTTTCATAAAATTATAAAATTTATAAGTTCTAGACAAATAAAACAAATAAAGTCATTGTCCAAAATTCGCCATCATTGATCAAGAAAAGTCAATATGACAAACATTTTCGGAGGTACTATAATTTTCTTACTTTTTTAAATTGGAACTTTAATCTTGCAATGAGGACCACACATTCTTAGCTGCAAGCTAAGGGCGACAAGCTTTGAGCCATGCCATGAAAACTCTGACTTTTCTCATGAATAGATCATCCTAGAGCATCGCTAATGGCGGATACAAATTCTAGGTCGCACATATAAAAATACTAAAGCTAAAGGTGACTATATATTCTATAATATCAGTTGAGAAAGGTGAGAGAAAAATGGAGACATTTTTGTCCTCGGTAACAAAATGAAGCCTCTGTTTCGATTTGAAATATTTAACAAAAAATACTCTAATAATTATTAATAATTAAATCCATTTATTGAAGGAAGCGTATATATTGAATTGTGAATATGAAGAATATGGGAATTGAAGTGCTCTCCAAGTGATGTCTAGACTTTAGATATCATAAGTTATCTGTTTTTTAACGAAGTTAAATTTTATTAAAGAAAACGAAATTGGAAGAGGAGGACATGCCTAACTATCCGTCGATCCCGCAGCTTAATTCAATACAAAAAGGGGATAGGAAATAATAATGGTTTTAACTCAGGATGTTTTTACTTGGACTATAATTTGCTGGTTTGGTCTGGTCTGATCTAGTCTGGTCTGGTCTGATTTCTTTGTATTTTTATAACTATCCAAGTCTGTTCTGGTCTTAACTGGTCTGGTTTGGGAGGAATTAAAGTCCAAGTAAAAACATCCTTAAGCATATAGACAATGAATAAATTCCGCTTTTGGTCAATGTCACATCAATTTCACAATTGATCCACAATTTTGACTACTTTAAAAAAAGATGACACCCCATCCCTAAGGGCCCCCCGATCCCGACCGGACGGTACGTTGGGAGGATGTAAATTGGACTATAATTCCAAACTGACAGGTAGAGAGTGAGGCTCTGTCCCCGGTACTTGCAGATGCCCTATGCATTTTTAGCATAGTAACCCCTCATCGCAGTTGCCGGGATTCGAACCCGGGACCTAACCCTTGTGGCACTCCTTTGCTACCAGTTGAGCTATGCCCACCGATTATTGTTGATGGATAGTCTACCCGGGGGGTATATATCCGAGGGGTTATTGCTGAGAATAACTTAGAGAGAAGTCAGAGCACAAATAAGTAAGAGAGAGAGTGTATTCAGTATGAATGTCGTGGTTACAAATGGGGAAATGGGGTGCTATTTATAGTAGCAATAAATGCCGGACAGGGACACGTGTCAAGCGCCCATTGGCCGAGAGGTCACCTCAACTGGTTGGCGTTGGCAGCCGCATGTGGCCGCATTTAATGCGGCTGTTGGATGGGACGTCTGTACAGGGTACGGTGATCTGTACGCATGAGAGGCGGATATCATGTCGGGAGGGGTGCCCTCGGCTGCAGAGGACTAGCCGAGGGCTCTTGGTGCCGAGGACCCCTGAGTGCCGAGGGCTCCAGATGCCGAGGGCTATTGTTTTCTGCCGTTTTTCTCCCAGTTTCTTAGTTTGCCTGGAAAACCCATTCTGTGAGAGTTTAGAGCCTTCGGCCGGGGGCCGAAGGCACCCTTGGTGCGCATTGCGGGCTGCTTGATACTCTGGGCGCCGTGATTTGGGCCTGTTGGGCCTCCTGGGCCTGTTGGGCCTTCATTGGCGTAGTAGGAGTCTGTGGGCCGGGTGTTCCCGGGCCATATACTCCATCAATTGTGTTTTCGCCCATGTATGGTTTTTCCGTCAAATTTCCGGTAGCTAAAATTGCCGGGAAATGATCACAAATGAATGAATGAATGATCAGAAAACATTAGCCAAATACCAAAACTGGACAAAGTGAAAGACGTTAACTAAATGTGAAATTAACATAAACCTTATAAAACCAAAACTGGAATTGATGGAGTATTAACTCCTAGAGAGAAGGGAGAGCTAGAGAGAGAAGTGAGTTGTATTAATGATTTTCGAAGACTTTACATGGCTCCCAAGGGGAGTATTTATAGGGAAAAGTGGGTTGGGCTCCCAAGTCTTGGGCTTGGGAGGCCCATTACAATATAGAGCCTCTATTGGACTGATTACATTAGAAGTCTAGTTCTTTGAGTTCCTTCTGGCCGACGGAGGCATGGCCGACGGAGACGCTCGGCCAACGGAGGCATGGCCGATGGAGACGCTCGGCCGACGGAGGCATGGCCAACAGAGACGCTCGGCCGACGGAGGCATGGCCGACGGAGACGCTCGGCCGACGGAGGCATGGCCGACGGAGACGCTCGGCCGACGGAGGCACGGCCGACGGAGACGCTCGGCCGACGAGGGCACTGGCCGACGAAGGACAAGTCTTCTCCTTGGCTTCTGGAGCATATTACGAGTTGACTTTTCTTCGGCCGATAGGGTGCTATCTGGCCGACGGATGAGGGCCCATTGAATGACCGTTGTGCTCCTCTTAGTCTTCTGAGTATGTGAGTCATGGGGTCTGGACCCATATACTCCATCAGGAATTAATTCTATAAATAAGATACGGGGTAATATCTATATTTTGTGCTTAATAGTGAAAGAATCATATATTGATAAAAATTAAAGCAATAGTTGCCATGTTGAGGGCAATGTGATATATTTTAGTCTTATTTAGTGAATTTATTTAGGAAAAATTCACATGAATAATCCCAACTATCACATGTCTTCCAGTATTAATCTCAAATATGCATAATTCTAAAACAATACAAAGTTCATATGTCATCTTCTCAGATTGATCCCAGGTTACCTGAAACCTATTGAACCGGTAAAAACTAAAAAAAGGCAAAAAAAAAAAGGAATAAATGGATGCTTCTTTGAACGGCTGAAACAAGAGGCCTTTATATACTTCTTTGGGCACAGTTGACCGGCCGGCCAGCGAATGCAGGAGCAGATGGAACGGTCGGCAAGGAGGAGCAGACTTCCAATCTCTTCTCTCCGGTTCCATACTCTATTCGAATTGAGGTCCTGGACATGTTGATTTCCTCTTCAATCAACTGGGAATCTCCCATCGCCGGTGGAGTCGTGGAAACAAAGTTTGTGACGGCAACAATCTAGGGACGATGAAGCACATTCAGCTATCTCCCTTCTACCACCTATGACTCTGGTTTTGCTCTTCTCAGCTATGTATGGAAATATTCCGACTATCTCCCCTCCACGTATCTCTTCTGAATCTCATCCAGCTGTTCTCCCCTCTTAATTCGAAAGAAAAAGAAACCAACGGGGTGGAGATGAGAGAGTTGTGGTGTCTAGCAACCGATTCCATTTCCTTGGTTTTTGGGCCTAAAGCATTAACCCGCTGGGAAGGGAAGGCAGGGAGGAGCACCGGAGGCTGGAGCAACTATTTAAAAATTAAAAGAAAAAAGAGAATTACAAACGAAAAAGAAGTAAAAAGAAGGGAGAGTGGGAGAGAAGAGGGGAGGAAAGAAAAACGACGAATGAAAAGGATAGTGCACACCAAAGAAAACTCAGAGACAACGGACGGAGCAACAGAGAAAAAAGAGAACATACGGAGTAAGAAATAAAATAAGAACAAAAAAAGACTAATCCAAACATGCCACGTGCCAATTCAAGTGACCTACTGAATTGATTTATGTAGGTCACCGGGTTGTTTAGAGAAGATGACCCTCATACATTGAATTATTTTAGAATTATATATATTTGGGATTAATAATAGAATACACCTGATAGTTGGGATTATTCATGTGAATTTTTCCATTTATTTAAGACTAATTTAATACAAATTTTAAAGTCGGGCTCAACCCTGACATTTTATTGGCCCGTTATAGTACCAAGTAGAGCAGGCTTTAATGATATGTTTATAATAAATTTTATTATAAAATACCTATATGTAAAATAAAACAGTTTTGTCATCCAAATAAGAGTATATAACACATCAAAGAATCTAAACAATCAGTGATACTTTATAAATGACAATCAGTGATACTTTATACAATTATACCTAAATTGATCGAATGAAACAAGTAGTACTACTATCACAACTATTACATTAAGGAAAGACATAAAAGATATATGAAGTGTTATATAATTAAGATGTAATTTTTTCATATTACAGATTGACGTTCTAAATATACCAAAGCACATCTAACTTCTATATACTATAGTATAATATTTAACTTACATGAGAGAATAAAAGAAAATTAATGAAACACTGTCAATGAAAGAAGTAGATCAAAAGCTTAATATTTATGAGCTAACACTTCTTTATTTTATTAATAATTTGTTTCCCTCATAAATCAGCAGAATCAAACAATCCAGTCACTTTAGCCAGAACTTTATAAATATCAGCAAACTCAACCGATTCAACCAATTTCAATGTTACCAAACGGGCTCTATACCTTTTACATTACCCCTATTATTTTTCTCTTTGTATCCATGCCAAAGTGTAAGGGGACCACTAATAAAGAACGGAAGGAGTATATGATTGGATCATTAAATATATATTTATAAAATAAGGAGTTCGACGAATCAAATATGTTATATGTTATATATACGGTACACATATTTATTTATTAATACCATAAAATTCTCAATTATATGTACACATATATATTTCAATTATATGTCTACATTAAGAAAAAAAATCAAACTTATAGCTTTTTTGTGCTTTCAATTTGTTATTCAAAACATCTAACCTATAAGTCTAAAATTTTGAAGCATCCACATCAGAACCATTAGGAATATACTTTATCATTTCTTAAGACTTATGAAAAAATTATATGAAAAATAGCTAAAATAATCATCTACATTAACTTCAGTCAATACAGTCAGAAAAGTAACTATAACCTTACATTTTTTATTATTACACAATTCAACGCGCGAACTAAAAAATTATGTGTTTGGTGGAAAAATTGATTGATAAGCCTGATAACCCGAAAAATATGGTCACCAAACGGCCTCATAGTGGTTTGTAACTTGTGTTTTAATGAAAAAGTAAAAAAGAGAAAGGGGTAAGGGTAATAAAATTGGGGGTATAAAGGTATTTTGATTGAAAAAACTTACCAAAAAGGAATGATGAACAACTAATAAAAAATAGGTACCTAAAAAATATACCAAAATGGAATAAGAGACACTTACTAAAGAACGGAGAGAGTATCTTAGAAGAGATTCAATTATAGAGTAAATTATCTAAAAACCCATTAAACCACATAGCATTTGAGACATTTGTAACTCTGAACTCTTACCATGGCCCCCGAGTCCCCCACGCCTCGACCCGACAAGACTTTTGAGAGGTTATAAGTCACGGTGATTTCGTCGGTCCAATGATGATACACCTTGTACTCGTACGCAATAGAGGTGCAACCCAGCACACAGGAACTTTAACTCCCACACCGCTGTTGCGCTTTCGATCCGTGTTCATTCTTGAAACTTTTCCATCATTCAACTAAGCTACTAGTGCGGAGTTACTCTGAACTCGTACCATAACAGGTAGTAAAGCTAACCGAGAGAAATTAACCAGAGTTAGTGTTTAGTGAGATATTCTGATATCGGTTGTTAGGCAAATGAGCATGGCGCACCGGTGAGGGGAATGAATTTTAAGTTCTCTTTCCTCATATAAAAAGAAGGATCTCTTCTTCTTCAGTTCAGAGCCAATCCTCTTTCTTCATTCTTAGTTTCATATACACAACATTTACCTCTCTCTTGATCTCTGCATGACATTCATATAAATATCGCAACGATATAGATATATACTCCGTACATTAGAGCGAATTCGAGCTCGATCTCCAATGGCGTCGGCGGCATGGCCAAAGCTCTGTTTGATCTCATTTCTAGCTCTGGCGTGGCTCTCTCTCAATCTCGTTTCTGCATTGAGCAACAGGTACTTGAATTGATTCCAATTCTCTGTTTGGGTGAACAACTAACGGAACCGCCGTCAATTGCAGACATTCCGTTTCTGTTTAACTTTTTTGTGCAGATTAACTGCGATTAGCTTAGCGCAGAGACTATAAATTATTTTCAGTATTTGATTTTAAGAGCTCAAAGTAGACATGGTTTTGGAGCTTGAAAGAATTCATCCATGGCGGATAGGCTTTAGGATAGTTAATCCGTATTAGTTTCATACAGTGTTTTTACCGTACAGGAGTATTAATCTACCTATTTCGGCTATTTGGTAAGATGATGACAGGTCGGATGAAATTTAACTCTTGCAGTGATTAAATTAAATTAACTACTACCTCCGATCCTATTTTATCTTCCAACCCACTTTGTCACACAATTTAAGAAAAGTGGGTATTGTGTGGTGGAGAGTTGTGCAGAGGAGAGAGAAATGTGTAAGAAATGTTGTGAACCACAAATTCTTTACCAAAAAGAGAAAGTGGAAATTTAATTGGAACAGACGAAAAAGGAAAGTTGGGAGTTTATTTAGGAACGGAGGGAGTACATTTTTGAATTTGGCAACGCTAATTATGTCACATATATAAGATTTTAGAGTTGATGCAAAAAATATATTTGGATTTGAAATTCTCTACTCTAATACTCCATATGTAATACGGAGTACTAGGTATGAACCATCGTAATTGCTCCCTTTCATAGTGATAACCTTTTTTAGAGAAATCATACACTGAGTTTGTGCTTAGGAGTGACGTGAAAATCTAGGAAAAGGTGTTATTGATATTAAGTTATAAACATGAATATATAGTAATGCATAATATTTTAAAACCAACCCTCCCGGCGGGCGTTGCTCAACTCATAGATAGTAAATGTCATAAAGAGTAAATATTGAGTTCGAATACTGACAACTTGAGAGGGTTATTATATAAAATAATGAATCTGGCTTCTGTAATTACATGTGCCAAACTATCTGTTAATTTGTGATTAAAGTTCAATTTACATTATCACAGTTAACTATCTAGCCGGTACTAGAGATCCTTTAAAACGAACATCTGTTGCAAACAGGGTAAAGCTCTCCAAAATAAGATTAAAAAAAATAAAGTTTGAAAATATGTACTGCCTCCGTCCCTATATAAAAGTATCCGTTCGTTTTCCACATATTTTAAGAAAGTGGGATGGATTGATACTGTTTGGCACTGTTTGGACACTGTTTGACACTGTTTGACACTGTTTTGCACTGTTTTGCACTGTTTTGTTTGCCAAAAAAAGAAAGGGAACTTTTATTTAGGGACGGCCCGAAAAGAAAACAGATGCTTTTATTTAGGGACGGAGGAAGTATATTATATACAGAGTACTTCGTATATCATGTTACCGAAAGAAGAATAGATTATTGTTATACTAAAATATCATATTTTGACATTATCATTACCAGACATTAATATGATACGGTTAATGTTATAATGTGCAATATTTTTAAATGCAGTACTACGTATAATTCCTATAATCCTATTTCTTTTGCAAATATTGGAAATTTGGACGGCCATAATTCAACAGCGGTCATACGGGGCGTAGCAATGAGAAAAGTTCACACACACATGGGCCTATTGCCACTTCAATTCGCTGATTGAGTCACCGTGATTTACATCCTCCCACGTGTCGGGTCGGGGTGTGGGGGCTCCCGAGAAAAGTTCACACTGACTGGGCAGAAAAAGAATTTATTTACAATATTTGTTACATAAATTTAACATTAAAAAGATTTTTTTCTAAATTTAGGAACATTCATGCCACCTAAGTCATTAGTTTGAGTTATGATTTATACAGCCCCTATAAATGCGGAATAATATATATTTACCTTGCTTTTGCAGAATGATAACAAATGAACCTCAACACGTGGGAGGTGGTGTAGAAGATCCAGAGACAATTGCATTGATGGTTCACACGTTAGTTCCTTCCAATGTTTAATTTCTCCAATATAAGTTATAATCATTTCTATTTCATTTATTTATTTATTCTTAATCGAAGTACATATGGAGCATTTTCTTCTGTCCGTTGATTTCATAATCTTGAAACTTGAAAGTACCCTCTTTGGTAATTAAATTCGGGTAGATTGAATGACGATTTCTTTTAAGTCTTTGTTTAACACAAAAGAAGGTTAGACAAGTTAAATAGTACGTAGCTGATAACAAATAAAGCCACTACCTTTTGATAAGTTGATTTATAAGATACGAATAACTTATAACTTTATACGGAATAACTAATAACTTTAATTGATTTCGTAAAGTGGTTGAGAGCATCTCGATTCATCATACTCAATGTTACGGTTTTTTATGGCTTATTATTGCCGGGTTACTTCCACATAAAAAAATCTCAAATAATTTCTAAACCTATCAATTTATCTTTATCCATGATTTTAATTTATCTAGGTTTTTGTGAGACGTCCACTCAATTTCAAAATCTCTAACTTAAATGCACTCACACATTCACATGCACTCCATATGGACACAATATACTTAGTATATACATTTAGTGCGTACACCATTATATAAAAAAAAGTATACCCTTCAAAAAAATTGAACGTCATTATATATGGACACAATATACTTAGTATATACATTTAGTACCTTGTATGTAAAATAATTTACACTATTAAGTTAATAAGAATGATTTTATATACAATTATTAGGTACACTTTTTTGTATACATTTGGTACCTTGCATATAAACTTTTTATATGGATAGTGCTATGATAAAAAAAAACGGATAGTGCTTTTAATTATAAACGGAAAATATCTTTAATTAGAGTATCTACAATTCGTGATGCATGCAATTTAAACAAAACACATTTGACGTGTAAACGAACATGTAAGTAAGCGCGCAGAAGTATCATTTTTGTTTTATAAATAAGCTTATTGCATACTCCGTATATATCACATTATCACGGATCGT